CGCGCGAACTTTCAGGTCGATCCGCAACACATAAAACATCCTGCGATAATGCCGCGTAGATACCGCGCGCGCGTGGAGCGGCAGAACTGTGCGAATAAGAATGGATCTGACGGCGAGAACGCGCCATCGTCGTTTCATTCATCTCCGCCCGATGAAACGCGCGTATCTCGCGCGCGTTCGCGCATCCTCCCACGGTCCGCTCACAAAGGAGTCTTTTTTTTTATCCGCGCCTCGACTTATTGTGCTCGCATGCACCGTAAACTTTGCATCCGCGGCTACGATTAACGCGATTCATCATCTCGCACTCGCCGATCGGCGATTTGGACTGAACGAGGCATCGATGAATTATATTCAATCAATGCTGGTAGAATCTGTCGAAATTTACGCGGCGCTCGTACACGGAAAGAATTTTCTCTTAAAGTTTATCCGAAAATCATGTTATCGTGGAACAACGCGGCATTTTGAAGAATTTTATGAGACACAGATTTAATATCGCCAGTAGTTTAAAATGATGTGTAGTTTTTTAAAACGACCTACACTGGCCAATGTCTTTATTTAAAAAAAACCACGTTTCGGTCCCAGATTTGGACCCTTTTCAAGTAATCTGTTCACACAATTGTTAATGATCTCATATCGTTCGTTTGCTCCATATCGCTATGTTAGTAAGATATTACTCAAAAAATGATTGCGCTCTTTGGTTGAAGAGTGCAAAGTCAATTGAAGTTGCATCATTAATTGTTAAACACAAGTAAAGGTATCGAGAAATGTGTGTTGGACGAGATATCAGATTGAACTGAATTCTATAAGAGTTTTTGAAACTTTATCATACGCTTCGCTAGTAAAATGTATGGTAAAATTTCAGAAAACCGCTCCTAAAATTCGCCGTAGTGCCATGTTGTCCCACGATTGCATGATTTTCGGGGTAAATTTTAAATGAACATTCTCTACGTGTACGAGCTTAAATTATATCGCGCGTCACCTCGCCTCTTTAGACGTCTGAGAGTCAAAACTTTCATGGTGGTTTCCTGGTGTTCCCGCTCCGAGCGGAGGAAATCGTCGCTGCCAAATGGACCGTCGATGTAAGTCTCGTCGTTTGGACGCGGCGGTGATTCTCCGCGAGAAACGCTCCGACGGCGAGCGAGATTGGCTCGCATTCTGCCAGCTCCTCGCGCTTCTTTTTTTGTCCTTCTCCGCCTCTCTCTCTCGCTCTCTCATTCTCTCCCTCTACTTTATTTGCGCGTATAAATAGCGCGGTCCAAAATTACCGGGTACTTCGGCGAGCGGTGCCGCGAAAGTGGCGTCCAAGAAAAGGCCGGCGATTTCTGCTAGTTGTAAAAATATACGCGGGAACGACGTGGCCGCCCGGTTGGCGACGCGCATTCTTCAACGAGGGATACGATGGGGACAACTACGTGGACGAAGAAAAGCAGAAGATATAGAATTATTCATAGACTCTCATAAAATTCTCCACTAGGCCTTTGCGACCCGAACTGATGTCAATCAGTATGTAAAAATAAGCGGTTATTTATTTAGGCAAAAGGAGTGAGAGTCGTTCTTTTTTATAGGAAGCGTGGTAATTAGAAACGAATTGTGATATTTTTAGACGCGATAAAACGCATAATATTAGTACTGAATAAAATACATTAAATTCTTCGTAAAACTATTCATTTTCCGCGAATCTGCTTTTACGCGAATATTGAATATTTTTATTTTAACAGTGTCGATCGATGTGAAAAAGAAGCTGCATTCATTTGTCACAAAAAAGTGTAAAACGTATTCCACTAAAAAATGTTAATACTAATTGCCGAAACTTAATGAAGTTTTTAATTTGTCATAATTTGGCGATTATGTTCTCAAAGGCGATGACAGACAAGTTTTTACGGGCTGGGAATTGTGGATCTTTAAGCTTGCAAATGTTCATAATTCCACGGCGAACTTAATCAAAAATTTAAAACGCGCGCGGGGGAAAGAGAGAGGAGATATATCCGCTTTGAATAATTTATACGTTATATACGTATATAATGACGATATATCGTAGAAAGTTTTTGAAAGATTAAAATGTATATCACACATACCTATATCGCAATTTTGAGAAGTACTAATGAGAAAATTTTTTAAGAGAGGGAAAGAGGATTCTTGAGTCGTTGGTAATAATATTTAATGCCTTGTAATTGGAATAGGATATCAAGTTAGTAATTTCGGTGATTGTGTATAATTGCATTATTATACGAATTTGAATATTGCATGAGATGAATATGAATTAATTTTGAAATATCTTTATACAATTGCGATACATATTTATGTCGAATTAATGACTGTATCAAATTCAAATGAAGTGTAATGAAGAAGTCGGCGTCAGCCGAACGCGACATTTTGACGATACTATCGATCTATATACGTCGATTAATCGCGTAATTATTGCATCGAGAAAAAGAGGCAGCTATGCCGAGAGAGATGATTCCACGGTAAATAACTCGTCGTCGATCAGTCGCGCCGATGGGCAAACACGGAAGATCTCGGTCGCTTATAAATGAAAATGCAAGCGCAGAGAGAAGTCTCGCTCGTTCACGTAAATGAATCTGAACGGTTGAACCCGTCCTCAACTTCCGCTTTCGCAACATGACATTGCTGTATAATTCCGCGGGGACGACCTGTCGCGCCTTGAATATTGAACACGCGGATAATTGCATTTGAATCAATTTCCGCTTAAAATGTTTCGATATTTTATTAAACGTTAATATATTAATATCGTTTAATTAATTGAACGATATTAAATTTACGATATTAACGTATACATCATAAATATATAGAATTTTGTCAGAATTAAAAAAGCGCTGTTTGTGCAGTGCAACAATGTGTCAATGCGTCAAAATTATTGTAGACAAATATACGCTGACTGTCTAACATCGAAGCTACATCCTGCGATACGTACACTCTTATTCATTAATGCCTGGACCTGCATTTTTATCATCATTTTTCTCATCTCTACAAATCATTGAGTTCCACCCCCATGAAAAAATATACATGTAAAAATATATTCAAAAATATATTACATATATTTTAAAATGTGTTATATAAATTGCATATATACATATTTGTATATATATTCTTGAGTACAGTAAAATACTTTCTTCACTTATATTTAGTATATGTACTACCACAGACTTCTATAGAAGCTGTAAACTCATCGATGTATAGACGGGAATAAAGATTATGAAAATGTGAATCTTAGTAAAACTCAGGTCCAGGCATTAATGAATAAGGGCCAGTTTCACAAACATCGGTTAACTGCTAACCGAAGGTTAATTGATCCTCTGTTTCTTCTTAAATAAATAAGATCGAACAAGATAAGGAGTCGACTGAACTCTAGTTAACAGTTAACCGATGTTTGTGAAACTGGCCCTAAGACCGCAACTGCTACGTGATAAAAAGGTCAAGTTAATCGCACATAGAATACCCTAAAATAACGCGTATTCAAAAGCGCGTTCACTAGAGCAGATTCTAATAGAATTGGCGTACCGCAAGATACGCAATCGAATTTCCTAATTGAATGATTTGCGGAGTTCTTATGCGATCGTCGATATTTTCCCCGTATGTATCACTCGTTTTAGCTATGGCTCGGCTATTTCTCCGCTGCGGAGAAAAATATCTATTGACAGATTATTATTAGCGATTATTCACGGCCAAGTATTTTTCCGATCGCGAAAGTGTACTGCGATATATCTGCCGATTACTTTCCTCGTGCGGGATAAATTTTATATAAGTATACGCATTCGTATCCTTTTACCCCTGCTCGCGCGACATACGTATGATCCGAATAAAAATTTTATATCGTCACATCTTGATCTCACACGGCGAAGTTAATTAATACAAAAATAAACGCGCAGTCACCTAGGGCATGATGCATGGAAATAAAATGCACCACCGCTGATATAAATATATCCAATACGTTGCGTGCTGCATTTTTGCTTCAGTGAGCATCGATGGCGCTTGATTTATGAGAAATTGAAAATTAAGAGATGCAGAGAGCAAACCTTTTTCTTGCCGACCGAGACTACGTAGCAGGCACACGTTCGCGCTATTTGTAATAATTTGTAATGCTCCCTCGCAATTTTTCACTCCGCACACGATATACGATTCCGTGCGACTACGGGTATGACGATGATATCACGGGCAACGCGTCTGAAAAGCAAGACGGCGTCTTCTACAAGTAACTGGAACGCAATGTTGCGTTCGATGTCTCGGCCGTAGTTGGACGCAATTATTCGTAACAAATCAATTCACTTTTATGCGTCACGTAATCGTCGGTGCTACGTAATCGACGGAGTATAATACAGCGCATACCAAACGAGTGTCAGTATTTTCTTGTTTCACACCGCGAGTACATTAACGCCTGCGTATTTATGAAAACGTCATCGGGCAATTGACACTGTGGACTAGAATTTTCCAATCGGCGTCACCGTGACACTTCGCTTGGCGCGGCCTCGAGCACTTTCCTCATGTACGATCGTCTGCGCGTGTCACTCGAACGAACTCGTCGTCATCGTAAATTCTACGCGTTATTAGCGTCGTTACGTAAGGCGTCGTTACGTTCACTTTGCACGTAATCAAAAATCCACTCGGTATCGCTCTCCGTTACTTGGGGGGAGGGGGGGGGACTTTTGCGTTTGTCATTCCCCCAATGTCAAGTTTGTAACATCCTGTCGCGGTGAAGATAATCGATGATTAGAAACGGATTAATCGGCGCGCCACGCGCGTCCGCCTCGCGGAATAGTCGCGGCGATTCGCGCAGAGTGTCGAGAATCCTTCGTGAATCACCCCTCCCCTCTCGAACCTCGGAGCACTGTGTGCGCGACGACGTCCGTTCTCGCGTCTGAGTCACCTGAGAGTCCACCCGGGTGCCGCGCATGATCTCGCCTTCTCGTATTCGCTCCGCTTCTTTTCTTTCGACTCCGTCAGTCGGCAGTGATTAACAGTAGCCGGTGCCGCGCTGTTTGCAGAGACCCATACTGTGGCGATGACAGACCCACAGCTGACCAATAACAACAACAACAACAATAACAACAACAACAACAACGATGGCGAGCCAAAGTACCTGCACAAGAAGTTCAAGAAGATGGCGACGACCGAAGTTGCGCCGAAAGTCGTCGAGAAGGAGGGCACGGCGAATAACGTCGCCTCCGATGAGACCCCCAAGCGAAAGGACGATGCCAAGGACGGCAAGGAGTCGTCGAAGGAGCTCGGCGGCAAGCTCGAACCTTCCCCGGAACCGGCAGGGGGAGTCGAGCCCGCCGCCGAGTCCCGGAAGAGTGGCTACGCGTGTCCTTACTGCCCGATGACGTGGACCAAGCCGAGTGTTCTTCAGAAACACATCAGGGCGCACACGAACGAACGGCCGTATCCGTGCGCGCTCTGCGGAATCTCCTTCAAGACCAAGTCGAATTTGTACAAGCACTGCAGGTCGCGCTCTCACGTGCACAAGATGGAGAAGGGGGAGAAGGTAATCTACTTCGTTAATTAAATTTATATGATTTAGCAAACTTGAATAAAATCTTGATGCTACGAGAGAGAATGAACAATATTGATTGACGGTTTAATCTTTAATAAGGCAATTCTTTTCCGATCAATCGATAGCATATTTAGTTTACCAGTTAGGCACTTTAACGCTTCGATACTTCGACGTGTAATTAACACGCGGTAATTTATGCTTTTTTCGCAGGTGTCCGAGGATTCCGACATAAGTCTGTCAGATAGTGCCAGTAATGGCACCGGGACACCACCGCCGCCGCCAGCTTCGACGCCCACAACGGCCACGACGACGGTATCTACCGCCGCAGTGAAGACCGTGAAGACCGGCAAGATCTACAAGCCGAAGTTTCAAGCCCGAACGGCCCTGCAGTGCGTGAACAGCGACACCGAAACGTCTTCCTTATCGCCCAGTTCTTCCAACAGTTCCTCCTTGTCTTCCTCTACGACCACCTCCAACTCTGTTAAACCGAACGCGGAACAGTTGCAGGAGCACATCGACAAGATTATTACGGACAATCAGGCGATCGTTGACGCGGTAGATCCATGCCTGCACAAACTGATGCACCGCCAGCAGAGCTTGGTGGAGACCAAGCAGTCGTTTGAGCAGCAGCCGTTGAACTTGTCTTCCGCAGAGGAGTCTTTAAACGTCAGAAAGCGTTGCTACAGCGACAGCTGCGCGCAAGAAGCGAAAGACAACGAGCTTCCGGAAAGTTCGATCATCAAAGATCTCCTGTTGAAAACTCGCGGTTCCATGAACGGACCGATACTGGAGACCGCGGTGGAAAACTTCGTCTGTCCCACTTGCAACATCCCCTACACTAGCATAGATAATTTAGAGGCTCACCGTAGGTATTATTGCAAGGGTATCGACAGTTCGCGAAAAGGAGCGGATTATCATACGGACTTGGAGAAGCGAGATTCTGATTTCGACGTGAAATCTTCCGATTATTACAGTACCTTGCAACCGTTACCCTCGCCGGGTCCTCTGCTGGGTAATACTAGACTAGTCGACGCGTACGCTCCGCCTGCCAAAAAGCAAAGAACGGAATCCGTGCCGACCAGTTTGAGGTCGTTGGAAGAGCTCAGCAAATACCCGCGTCCGAACTCGCTGCAGATGTTCGGCGGCGAAGTGAGGATTCTCGACAACACGGGCGAGGTGACGAAGACAATGAGAATCGAGCCACGGCAGACGAATTCGCCCACGAGCGAGCACGTGGTCAACAGCAAGTGCATGAACTCGGAGACGGCGTCGATAGTGGTGAAATCGGGACTCCATTCTGGCGGTACCATGATGCACAAGCCGCCAGGCACATCGGCCAACACGTCCAACTCCTCCATATCCCTGCCCAATGCGCCCAAGATATTGGCGCCCATCATACCGAACATATCAACCCCGAATATAGCGCCCACCATGTCCTGCTACGACTACTTGGAATCGCACCTCAACCCGCTGACGAGTATCACTGCCTACAATCCGTTGACTCTGCCGCAAGCTGGTATCACGAGTATCCTCCATGGCGGCAAGGTGATACCTTATGTGCCTGGTATGCCTGGACCGCACACTCTGACCGGTACACCGACCATAGACATATCTCCGAGTATAACGACCGGCGAAGCCGGTTTCAAGGTGATACCGGGCCTACCGGGTCTACATATGATAACTCAGCCGCTGGATCTGGCCAGTCCGGTCAAAGTACAGCCCAGCACGGTGCCTGGCATGCCTAGTCCGTTGTCCGGACACGTTCCTCCCATGTTAGATCAGCCTCTGGATCTGGCTAGTCCGGCGAAGGAACCGATGAAGATCAGTTTCAAGACACCCAACGGCGACGGTCTGAAGAGCGGCCTGACCAGTCCCAAAGTTCCTAGCGTCAAGGTCGAGACCTCGACGGACAAGTATCGCACGAGGGTACCGTCGACTCTCACCGGCGGAGAGACTGGCAAAGCGGAGCTCGATCGTCATATCAAAAATAATACGACCGTCAAGTACAAGAGTATAGAGAGTCCGCGGGAGAGGAAGGATTTCGCGTACGACAAGAGCCCGAAACTGGACAAGGCTTTTAGTTATCCGAACGGCGTGGACCCCACCATCTCCTCCAACTCTTACAGCAAAATGAGATACTCGCCCAAGACCGTTCTGGAAAGCAGGAAGAGATCGTCAAATTGGGGCGTTAGTGAAATGGATGCTGGCAGAGCAGCTCCGGTAGACACTGCAATCCCCAAGTACGATCTACCTCCTCATGAGAACGGTCGATTAAAGAATAGCGTCTCTTCGGATGCACGTGGATGGATGAAGGTTGCGGATGGATACGGCGCGTTCAACGGCGCCAAGATGAAGGCCGACAACGCGCCGTCGGTGATACTTGTCAACCTAGACTCTTCCAAGACAGAAGTGCCAACGAAAACTTCCGTAGAATTAATTGTTAAGGACAAGCAACCCGAGGCCAAATCGCCCAAGAGCGATGTCGCGAAAGAAACGACTAGTGCTAATAAGTTCTTGAGACCCACGTCTCTGCCGTTGAAACCCGGCACGTTTACGCCGAAGAAGCATCACGGGATCACGCCTACGGCGAATACACTTCCTCTCATCAGTCCGGAGACTCCGCGACCCAAGAAGTCGTACGGGCAACTATATCTAAATGGGCATGCCTACACATATCTGGGACTCAAGTGTTCCACTAGGGTGTTTTATTGTACTCTGAATCGACCGCAGCCAATGTACGTAACGCAGCAGCACGGTCTGTCGATGTACTCCAATTGGAAGATATGCAAAGAGGCACCACCGGACGTGGACATGGCGCACTATGACTCTCGAAATAGGCCCCTCAACTTCACGACCGCGTGGAAGAAACAAGAGGACATCCTAACGCACTCCTCGTATAGACCAACCACTCCGTCCAGTCCGGACAGCGGACTAGATAGCGACATGCAGGAGAAGACGAAAAGGGTCAAGATATTTGACGGAGGCTTCGAGAGCAACGAAGATTACACTTATGTGCGCGGGAGAGGTGAGGAATGTTTAAATATTACGTTTTTCAAAATGAAGCGTAAGATTTGTGCAGTAGCCAGAAATTTTCTTGCGCTGGTTCTACAATAGACGCAGCAAGTCGCAAGTCGCAAAACATCGACCAATCACATTGGCCGATTTCTTGCGGCTTGCGACTTCCGACATTATCCAATTTTCGTTATATAAAATTCATAATATAATTCAACTTTCAAGTAATTCAAAAGATCTAAAGATTGGTGAACCAAGCTAGAGGTGCTAAGTATATAAGTTAATTAAAGATTCAATTTTTATAAGATTTTTAAAGTTCTAATCTTAATATTGTAATTGTCGTGTGGAAATAAATCTTTAATTATTTCATATATATTACATAAGGTCGAGGACGCTATGTCTGCGAAGAATGCGGTATTCGTTGTAAGAAACCATCTATGCTGAAGAAACATATCAGGACACATACGGATGTTAGGCCATACACGTGCAAGCATTGTACCTTTAGGTAAGTTAAGATCTTTCCACATGGCGTGGCAAGAAATCTAGATTGTATAAACTTTAATTTACCGGAATCATCTTTTTGCGACAGTTTTAAAACAAAGGGTAACCTCACGAAACACATGAAGTCCAAGGCTCACTACAAGAAGTGCGTGGAATTGGGCGTGGTGCCAGTCCCCACAACCGTCTGCGACGAAAACATCGATAAGGATGCTATCGCGCGACTAGCCGCCGGTGGCGGTAACACGGAGGAATCTTCAGAGGAGGAGGAAGAGACTGACGGAGAGGAAAGCGATGAATCTGGTAGCGAGGAGCAGGAAGCGGCGCAGAGTCTACTGAGTCTTTCGCAGCGTAACACGTCGAGCAGATTGCCGGGTTTGCTGCCGTCCGGCCGACCCACAACGTATCCGTACACGTTAACTATACCGACGACTTCCGCAGTGAGCGTCGCGTCCACCACCGCGACTACATCGACCGTGAGTCAAAGCGTCACCACCCAGGGAACGGCTCTGATCCAAAGCGAATTATCGCACCGTTACTACTTCCCGTCGAATCGAAGTGCGACGGAAGAAACGAGGATCAGCGTCATTCAATCGTCGAAGAAAGACGACTCCGACTTTGAGATCGAGGAAATCACCGATGTCGCGGAGTCGCGCCATCAGCTGTCGCAGCCCATGGATCTCACGACGAAGCAGACCACTCAAGTGTTGCCCTCGCCGGTACCGCATAGAGCAAGACCCGTGGACATTCTGACACCCGTTTCGGAGCCGGTCCTACTCCAGACGATAGTCCAAACGATGGAACGGCTGCCTATACAGGGTAGAGAATGGAAACCGGACGCGGAGGGACACATGTTGCAGGCCTACCTCACGGAGAGACATGTGATGGACAGCAAAATTAAGCAGCAGTATCGCGTGGGAAGTACCAAGGACAACAAACAGATACAGGAGAGAGACGTTTACCCGCGGCATCAAGATCCGAGCAGGCCCAGGCACGTAGAGTCCAACGGCACTCCAACGGTGACGTACACCGATCCCAGCAAGATGCAACATACCGTTAGCGAGTCTACGATCAAGTACATAACGAAGTTAAGTGAGGACATTAAGATGGAAATCAGGGAAAAGATTTATCAGAACAACATGACGATGGAGAGACGAACGTTCGATTACGAGGCTATTCACAAAAGTAAGGAACAGACTAACCGTATGGTTTCGGATCGTGAGAATTTTGAGCTTGGTCTAACCAATGGTCCCGCTGGCGCGAGACCGAGTATCGAGTACGGTCTGCCCATGGCCAGGAACGGTGGTTCGATCGAGAGACCGAATTGTTCTATTGTACCCATTCGCAGCACGTCCCGTATCGATTGCCATTCACCGAAATGCCTGAATATGGACGTCAACAACCGACCACCGTTGATGCAACACGCGAACAACGATATCGATAGAAGTTCCATGTTCAACGCGATGAAGATGGTGAGCGAGATGGAAAGACCTAGGGAGTGCCATCCCGTCGGTCAAGAAATGAGGTCTGCGAGTCACGAGATGAGACCCGCAGCCAACGATGTTCGAATGCAGAATCACAGTCCGCGGAATCTCGACCTGAGGCCGCCCAGTAGAGAGATCAGAACGCCCGGTCAAGAGTACAGAGCGCAGAGTCAAGAACTCAGGCTACCGAGTCAACAGGAGTACAAGATACGCGGTCAAGACATAAGACCGCCCAGTCGTGAATACAAGCCGGCGTTCGCTCATGACATGCAGGTCATTCAGGAGCTCATGCCGTCAACAAACATGGAAATCCGGCAGACGAATCCGGATAATAGACCGCCGAGCCGTGACATGAGAGGCCTCGCGGAGTACAGAGCGCACGCGCAAGACCCACGTGCCAGCTACGAGATGTTGCAGCCTATACACGAGCCGCCCAAGTCGCAGAACGTGGATGCGAGAAGCGCGTCACCGCAGAAGACACGAGTTCTCTATTACGATATAAAGCACGCCGCGGACATGGTTAAACAGAATACATTGGACAGCATGAAACACGCGATGGCCGGCAAGGTAGTCGTCGGTGGGCCGGACTTTCGATCGCCGTCGCCAAACACGGGAAGCGCAAAGCCGCAGGCGGAATTTTTACAACCGTCGAGTGGTCCGGCGCCCAACTACGTCAGGTAAGTGAAATATTTTCAATTAACGAAAGAAAAAAGTCACTTATAGTCGCCCCAGCGATGATTAAAAATTAAAACGGTGAGCTTATTGTCAACCCAACTGGCAAAATTTTTTTATCTAATATATTACAACGTTGAAAAGGACCTGAAGTAAGGTCGAAACGTTGCAACGTATTAAATAAAAAATTTTGTCCGTTGCGTTGACAATGAGCTCACTGTTTTAATTTTTAATTACGCTTAAGTTAGTTACATATTAGAGTGTTCTGATATGTACCATATGATAGGATGGTAACGTTCAAGTTCTATTCATTGGAATTGTCGAAATAATTTTAGTTGTAAAAACTGAAATGCTGGAATACGATTACAGTGTCACGGAGGACGGTAGGACTGCATGCGGGATTTGCAACAAGGTGTTCAGCAAGCCTAGTCAGTTACGGTTGCACCTCAATATTCATTATTTTGAGCGGCCGTACAGATGCGACCATTGTGCAGTTTCTTTCCGAACTAAAGGCCACTTGACGAAGCACGAGAGATCCGTTTCCCACCATAATAAGGTAAATAACGGCTCCAGCGAGGACCGTGGTGTGGTTTTGCACGAAGTGTGTACGAGTAAATATTTCGTGTTATCAGGTCAGTATGACGTCTACGTTTGGCGCGGCGACTACCAGCAACCCTAGGCCTTTCAAGTGTACAGACTGCAAGGTGGCGTTCAGAATACATGGACATTTGGCCAAGCATCTACGCAGCAAGATGCACATCATGAAGTTGGAATGCCTGGGCAAACTTCCGTTTGGAACGTATGCGGAGATGGAGAGATCTGGCGTCAACTTGAATGATATCGACACTACGGACTGTGATAATAGTCTTAATAGTCTGCAGGTTCGTGCTGAAACTGTGCGCAACTGCGCACTTTTTTTGAAGAACAAGACAAAGAAAGCGATAAAACGAATTTTTCCTTGAACAGATACTGGCTCAAAAACTAGGCGACAAGGATCCAGCGAAGGTCGCGCAGTGGGACTCGGAGGCTCTGCCCGGGCCGGTCGTGAGCGGCAGCGAGACCTCGTCGGACGAGGGCGAGCCTATACCGCAGCACGCGCTCCACGCGCAATACGCGAAGGCGACCACAGACGTGGACGTTCCCCGACCATATCACATGTCGCTCGTCCCCGAGAAACCGAAGGCCATCGGCGATGCTCGCCTGCGCAGCCCTCAGTTTAATCAGCAGAGACGCGACTACGTCGTCAAGGAGCAGCGACCGATCCCGCTGGTCGTCCCGGCGGAGGACGCGAGGGCGGAGGACAGTTTACAATCGTACAAGTGCCAAGTTTGCCCCGTATCTATGCGTACTCTAAACGAGTTGCAGGTACACTGTTTTGTTGAACATAGTATTGAGACGGATTCTAGTACAAATATTCACGGCGACAGGAGTGCGGGTAAATGTAGCAGGGAAAAAGAGAATACTCAGAAAAGAATTATGGAGGAGTCCGCGGTGAAGGAAGACCACAAAAGACAGAGGATAGAGGATACATAGTGCCAAAACGACATAGCGTGCTAAACAATTCTTTTCGAGTGGTGTATCTGCCATATTACTTAGAGAAAACGCGGTTATAATAATATATCATATATAAAACGCATCACAGAGATATCCTAACGAAAGAAACAAAAATCTCGGTCGTCCTGAAGAATTATTTCGCTAGGTGATATACGACTAATGACGATTCTCATTTGAAGAGGTGTTTCGTGGAAAATGAACGGTGCAAGGAGTTGAAGCGACACGTTACTCGAGAGCCGCGTGTGCACAAGTACAGTTTACAATTTTTTACGTTGCCGTCGCCAAGTGTTCCGCAAATTTCTGAGGACTTTACAAAAGATCGCGCGAGAAAAGTATGAACCTAGAGTAGCATTCGCGCGAGTACCAATAACGCGATGCGCATTAATGAAGAATTTACACGGTCACGAGCGCGTTTCCTCTATCGCGGCATCAATTTCGAAATTGCGCAAACAGATACAACTGCTCGTACAGTACTCCCGCAAGAGATTTTAAACTCTTCCCCTCGAAACCGGCACGTATGAGGTAAAAACGAAAGAAAAACCCGTCATTCGATAATATTTATACACGCAATAGTGTTTCTCGTAGTGAGCATGAGGTGCAATGGACTGGCATGTGATTCTATATATTTAAAGCACAAACGTGTTACTTTCGACATATTGAAGAGTATTCTAATATTACAAATTAATATTATACTTTAAATTGGTATATGAAACTCATATATAATACACACAACATACGCACGCTTATACATATATATATACATATATATGTGTATTTGTACGATATTAGTATGAACTATGAGAATTATTGTTGACGTAAGAGAAAATGTGTTTGTATATATTTATGTATAATATAACGAGAAATCATGTTAGACTCCATTCTAGTTTTAAGAAATCCAAGAAGCTGTGTCGGTTGCTCAGATTACCTGTAAATTTAAGCGCTTTTAATTCCCCTCGGTCTTCCGTGTCTTAAAAGATTCTTTTGTAAGCAAGAGTCAAGCGGTGAGTATCTCGATAAGTTCCGGTACGCGTTGCCGAACCGTTTAGTTACCCTCGTATATACTCTGATATTATTAGTTACTTCTTTAATCCTAATCGATCGTCATGGTCTGAGGGACCGATTCGCTGATTCTGTTGAAGATAACCGAGCCTCCTGCTATCTATCGAACTGTCCACGTCGAAGAACCGCGTGAATTTCTCTCGCGTTACACACTTTGCAATTACGCGTCTTATCAATCTCTCTCTCTGTCGAGCGAGCGAGAGCAGGCTCGAGGAAACTAATTTATTTATTTCGACATGGAAAACAGCTCTTCGCATGATTTCTCGCTGGTGACGATTTGTAATACGACTGCGGCGAGCAGCCCGGAGAGGCCGTGCACCTTCCACGAGCGAACAGCCAACCGTATATATAAATATATCTTACAGTTAACCGTCTATCTAACGCTACGCGCGGTCTTGATATTTCACTCGAGCACGAGAATGTCTTTCCTACTCCGCATAATCAGACTCCGGTCATCACGGTTCGTACCTAAATAGGGGGTGTGCTTGAGACCCGGGAACAAGAGGGACGATGCACGGAGAGAATTTTCATTTAAAATTTACCCGGAAAATATTGCAATTTTTAAGAGTTTTCTGAAATTGTGCCATACATTTCACTACTCTCTAAAGAGTGGATTGTCACTGGTTCGCAATTATAAGAGAATTGTTCAGTGCTATACTTATAACTGTTTTCCGTGTGACAATGCACCGATTGACTTTTAGAAAGTAGTAATTACGCTTACAATAAGTATTTTACCAGGGATAGGAAAGTTACTTTTTAAAAGTAACTGTTACCGTTACTCGTTACCGAGTAAAAAATGTAATTCGTTGTCGTTACTTTTTTTATTCTGAAACGAAATCAGACAAACTGAAACATCTACTTCTGTGATAGTTTTTCACTAACAAAAGATATTAAACAACTTTTTATTTTAAAGTTGTAAAAACCATGAAAACTTTTTAAGGGGATCAATTTTCAAACGCTCATAAAGTAAATGCAAAATTTTGATCAAGCTTCTTCATCGTACTAATTTTTCGTTCAAATTTTTAACGCGACAGTTCTTAACTTATCTTAAATATAACAGCCCATGATAATAATAGATTACGAATATCGATCGGTGCCCGAAGATCAAATGTAAGAAAGTATAAACGTGATAATCTCTTTAGGTTTGCCAGTAATAAATAACAATGGATCAGTTTTAAGTCAATCTTCACAATCAGTCAACCTTAACTGGTATTTGTTTGATCAATTAAAAATAACAAATGCCAATTAAGGTCGACTAAACTGATCCATTGTTAAGAAAGTATAGTTATATTTCATAACTAGGTTCAAAATATAAAAGGCAACGTCGTTACCAGTCCGTTATAAAAAACAGGTAACTTGTAACGGTAACGGCGTTAGTGTTGATCTACAACCTTGCTTTAAGTAAGCTGTAAGCCTTAAGCCGTAAGAAATTAACCGATCACAGGTGAGAGTGAGGGGAATAAATGCCTGTGATTAGTTATTTTCTTACGGCTTAAGGCTCGCAGTTTACTTAAAGCAAGTTTGTGGACCAGGATCTCGATTCTTCGATTTATTCCAAGGAGAAACGTATGCGAAAATTCTGCTCTTACAGAAAAGTTGCAAGTCGATTGGCTACTCGCGTGGCTTTAACCAGTCGACTTTCAGCTTTTCTGTCGGAGCAGAATGTTCGTACACGTTTCTTCTTCGAATCATTTCGAGAATCGGGGCCCCAGCGCTAACAAGTAACGCGTCACTTCCATATCCTGGGTTTTGGGTAAAATGTATGGCAAACTTTTAAAAAAAACTCCTACAGTTGTTCAAGATGCCATATTGTCCCACGGTCACGTGATCTTCAGGATTCTAAGAGAAAATACTCTCCGTGTACGCGGGATAGCGTATCCGAGACGGATGTACAACGAGGTCCAGTCCGCGTCACGTTCGCGCTGAAACGATATCAGTGTAGCGTAGCCTAACGTAGCATTTTTTCGGAGGGAGGGAGGGGGTGTACGTCTGTCGTTCTCTGAGCTTCCAGGATGCGTATCGGAAAATGCCAAGCCAACACAGTCCGCGTTCGGCGGGACTTGTCGTGGCGAAGGGGGGGGGGGCGATGCGACGCTCCCCAAAATCGCAAGCGTGTAACGCACGTCTGCGTTTCTTTTTGCGCGTGTAACTCTCTCGCTCTCTCTCTCGGCCGCTTGCACGCGATCCCGAGCGTACCTTTTCCAAATTGTCGGCTCGAATTTGCGATATACACGTATACATACACATATATATATATTTTTTCGATACGTTGTAGAAGCGCCGCGCGAGACTCTCCCGGCGTGCGCGTGCATACATATCAGAAACGCCGCGCGTTCCCGGCGTTCAGGGTAAAGTTACATTTGTCGCGGGGAGAGCAAGGAAACGACTTGCGAGCGCGTCGATCTTAACTCCGGTTAAGAATTGCCGGAGAGCTTGTTCTGTCTCGCGGCCGATTGTCGAAAGGCCTCGCGCGACAAATGGCGGCAGCGCCCTCGAACCGGGGGACGGCGGACGGCCGGTGCGCGTCTCGTCGTTCGAGAGCCAAATGCGGCGCAGTACAAGTTAGATTTTACTCACCGGTGCTCCCCGTCGACGGCCTCCTCGTGCCGAGCGGCTCCGGGAGCGACCGCGTACGCCGGGGACGCGAAGAACTCGGCCGCGACGCGGGAAACTGTGCGCGCTACTCGCGGGAGTAACGGTCGCGCGGCGCGGCTGCGCGCTGAACGTAGCCGCGACTCGAGTCGAACGAGCGCTCCGAAGTGCGTCGCGCGCTGACGGCGCCAATGTCCGACGATGCGAATTCACTTCGATCCCGATCGAGCTTCGCTCACTTTTCACTGTTTCCTTAGAAAAAAAGTAACCGGGATTGAGATTAATCCGCGTCGATAGAAGCGGACGTAAATCGTTGCGATCGAACGGCCCGGCGATTCCCAAACGTGTATGAACTGCGAAAAACTGAGGGGACTCTCCCTCCCGCCCTTCCGTTATGAAAAATGGCGCGCGACCAGTCGGTCAGATTTGGACGCGTTATGCGGCGTCTACAATGAGATCTTAAGGACGTAAGATTTAAGAAAATGACCAATCGCCGGCGATTATTGTCGCATTCGATTGTGGTAGGTCGCTTTCTTCGATCTTACGTCTTACAAATCTCACTGTAGACGCCGCGTTACGTATTCAAAGTGGATATCGCGGGGCGATTTTCCCGCTTGAGACTCGAGCACGCGATTTCAAGACGGTCTCTCGGCAGTTTGCGCGTCGAATTTCTGCAATCGAGGGACTCGCCCCGATGATGAAGCGATAGATTCGTGAACGCTGCCGATGGAGGTCATAAAATGCGATGAGACGCGTTTAATCATATACGTGCATATATGATTTGCTTCTTGAATCAAGCGGGCGATCTTGTTCAACGGTCTCTTGATTCAAGGCACCAACGGCAGAACAGTTCTAGTTACGAATTAGACGTACAGTCGAGTGGTCAGAAAGGTTGTCCAACGTTTTATAAATTTCGGAAAAGCAGTCCGTCATGCGAGATATGACTTTTGTTCACGGATACGATACATGCGAATATTCCAAAAACTTATTGTATGTCGGACAGCCTTTCTGTCCACGACCGTACGCGCAGTTTAAATTATAGGAGGGAAAAAAAGGACCGGGTACGGTAATACTTGCGTACAATTAATAATAATTTGCGTGTCTACATGTGCTGTCGGTGTCTCTCCCGTTTTGAGATGAAACCCGGTCAGTTTTTCACACTGGACATATTATAATTCTATCATTGTCCTCTCGGAACCAGACTGGACCGTATAATTTCTCACGAGCGTGCAATTGTACATCTCGATATCTTCCTTTCCACGCGCACACGCTATTATTATTATAAAAAAATATATATACTGTACAGTCTGATAATTCGGGTAAATGTTTGTCAAGACTCGACATACTTGTATGATATTCGATTAAGTAGTCCGTATTGTGATAAGCAACGGAAAGAACCACGTGGCGAATATCCCGACTAATATCCTAAGGTAAAAAGTACAAGCGTATCTGATAGAAAAAGAGAAGAAATGGGAGCAGAGGCGTATTTATTTTGTCGAGAGCGCGCGCGCTCGCGTCTACGATCCTCACGAAAGAAAAGGTTGGCTTGGCTAGGGCTTCTTCCAGACTCAGTATTAGATTTCGCGGGCGATAGAGAGAAGAGAGAGAGGGGGGGGGGAGAAGGTCTCGAGCTTGCACGGCTTTCTCAGACGGTGGTCGCACCGATTTACATTTTTACGGAGGCGGAATTCGGCCACCTCGTCGCCCGAATCGACGCGCGCGGCGTCTCTCCGAGAGAAAGAGAGAGAGAGAGACAAGACTCTCCGCTCCGATTCCGTGTCCTCGCGGATGTTTTAAACTTTGTATACGCACAGCGTGCGAACGGTGACACTCGCAGACGCCTGGCGGTATAGTATTTTATATGTATTATAGGATCTTTAAGATTTTATAAATGTTTTTCCGTGGGAGAGAAAGATGAAGAGAGAGAGAGAGAGAGAGAGAGAGAGAGAAAAGGATACAATCTCGTCCTCGCGCGAAACACACGCCGCGTACTCCCGCGAGCTTCGACAAGACGCGGCTGCGGCTCGAGTCGCAGCCTCGTGAAACCTCTGACTCGAAAGCGACCGTGTACCGGGCCGTTTACGCCCGTACACACCCGTATATACACTTATATCAGACAATGGGACCGGAGTGAAAATTTTATAAGCGTATACCTGGAGAAGCGACAACGGGATTCAACGGTAATAACGCCAACGAGCCTTGCCGGTGTCACCGCCACTTCTCTTCCCGACTCTGCGAATTCTGTTGAGCTATACCGATGAGAATGTAATTTTTATTTATTGTAAATAAAAGGAGGAAACATTGCTTAAAGCGTCTTTTGTATATCGCGCGTTCCGCACCGATGTACACGAGGCGGATTCTCGTCGAACCGCGGGAACGTCCGTTGGATTCGGTGATTTCCAGGGCGAATTGTACGAGAAGCGACTCGCGATCAGCACGCGTGCGTCTCTGCGTTGCCAACTCTAGGAACGGGAGGTAACGCGGGGGCAGGACGAAAGTTAATTTCCGGTGAAATAATGTACAGTTTTATTGATAATATCTGGCGATCCGTATGTTAAAAATAAATATTCTTACGAGTTTAGAACAGAATTAACGTTACAACATGCTTCCGTCGTCCGTCGCTCGTTTCCCGTGTGCTTCATCGCGCGTCGAACACGACAACTGCAAGCAAAATTAAGTCTTGATATTTGATGGAAGGGGATGCTGCAGTGACTCTGCGCTTTTGCACCTTTCTAGGGCCTAGAGATCGACAGTTCACGGAAACATTTGTGTAATATACAAATTAAATGGCTTACGTGTACAGATCGAAAGCATCTTGCTATTCCGGCTAAATTAAAGGCATCACTGAAACTAAGTTTGCAAGTCCAATAAGAAATAACAGTGAGCAGCATACAGTACATGTAGTATGTCGCTTACTATTATTTCTTATTAGACTTACAAACTTATAATTAATTCGATTGCCTGCACTAAGGCTTGTTTACAGTCAATTCTTATATTTAAGAATCGTGTTAAAGATTTCTTCAAGTACTTCGTAGCCAGTAAAATGATCTGTATAGCATCCATACGGATTATGTTTTGGCTAAATACTCTTTGAACATATATTTAAGACAAAGTTGAATATAAAAATCGACTATAAACTGGCCTTAGTTTGCACGCAGTGCGCACTAGTGTGCAAGCAATCAAATTCGCTATTAGTTTCAGCGATGCCATGTTGTTTAATTTAGTCGGAACAGCAAGCTGCTTTTGATCTGTACACCTAAGCCATTTAATTTGTATATTACACAAATGTTTCCACGAAACAGACAGTTTTGAGTGCAAAAGTGCAGAATCACCCCAGCAACCCCTCGAGTCTCATCGAGGGACGTTTGAATTTTTAGACTGAAAACGGTAGAAAACATACGTCTCTTTGTGCGCTTCTTGTACATGATTCTGTATCCGCATTCTCTGCATCGAATTGGATCTCGCGGACGAATCTCGTTATCGTGATGGCACTCTGAAACAACGGAGTTAAAACTCGATTAAGGCTGATGGCAGAGAACAATCCGTAAACGCTTAAGACTGGCTTAGTCGTAGACGTAGGGCAAGGCAGAGAGAAACGCAAGTCGTGAAAGGCTATTGTATACGACTACAACTAAGCCCTACGTCTACGACTAAGCCAGTCTTAAGCGTTTACGGATTGTTCTCTGCCATCAGCCTAACATGTGCTACGTTCGAGGGTGGAGATGTTCGAGAAACTTCCCTCTGTCGGTTTAAAACCGCTTACACATAACTAGACAATTTAAGGCAGCAATTGACATAGTTTATAAAGTGCCAGTGTCTCAAAGCGAAAACAATGTACACGCGAATACGATAGATTGAACGACAATTGGCACAAGTGTATCAAAAGTTATATCTCGCGAGAAAGTGAGGTTAGGAGGAGCGAAGTAAAAAAGCAGCGCGTCTTTACCTCCGCAAATATACACCATAGCCTGTTTCGGGGTAGACTCGGATTTGCTGGACTCCATTTCAGTACTGTCGCAACGTGACAAACTAACGATTTTACGACTATAAATCAGAGAGAAACCTGGAGAAACCTGAAAGCGGCCACGCCATGGACCTAAGAATCTCTGGACCGAGCACGAAGTGGGAGAACGGGCAAGGGGGCTGGCAAATTTGCGGTAAGGGGGGGGGCGAGAGTGCTCTCCTTTTCTGTCCTCTTGGTATCTCATGGTATCTCTTTCTACAAGAGGTCACTGTGACCTCTTGTAGAAAGAGAGGTCCAAGAGGACAGAAAAGGAGAGCACTCTCGCCCCCCTTACCGCAAATTTGCCAGCCCCCTCGCCGTATGCTCGGTCCAGAGATTCTTAGGTCCATGGGCCACGCCGGCGTCTTGCTTGATACCATTTTCGCTCGGCTGATTTCAGCGCCTTACGACCTTTTTCATTTTTGAAACTACTCCGCTGCACCTATTTTCAAGCACTGCCGATAAAGTCTCCACTTGGTAATGCAGTGCCCAATTTTGGTTGTGTTCCGTGCTGCATGCATGAAATGTCGGTAACACGAGAGCGTTATTGATTTTTCGTAACGGGAGCAATCAAGTGGATATCAAAACAAAAATGGATGTCAAATCATATCTTGTTAATTTCTACGGTGATTGGTCGCGAGGAATATCGCATAATTTGAAGTACAAGTCGCATTTTTAACGAATCGCAACCGCACGCGACGGTTCGTCGTGTCGTAGAAATCACCGTAAAAATTAACGATATGATTACGGATCGCGACAGTTACTTAAACGCGACTGATAAATGTTAAGAACTTTCGAACGAGACGATCGTATGCGTAGGAAATGATCGCGTTACGAGGAGCGACGCAACAGACACGCGGTACATCCGCCGCGCCGAACAATTCGACCCAATAGATTGTTTTTCACCGAGGTGTTTACGTCATTTCTTGGAATCCGCGCTCGGTTTTCGGCGGAGGTGTTTACGGCGCGCCGTACGCAGGGTCATTCGCGCGGCGACAGTCGAGCCGATCGGATATGCCCGCGCCGCTTATCGTATCACGATCGAGACAATTGCGATATTGTGAATGCCGTTCGAAACGCGGCGAGTCCGATGGGGCGAGCGAAGAGCGAAATCTCCCCGGCAACAAAAGCTCGGAGCCGCGCTTTCCAGCATCCGGCGCGCGGCTCGGCCAATAGCGCCGCTTGGCAACGAACGGCGGGACGAGGCGGCGCCCGCGATTCGCCGGGCGGCGCGCGTGGCGGCCGGCTGGTGGGGGCAGAGGCTGCGCGCGCGGCGACGACCAAGTTTACGCCGGTGTTCTCATGTGTCGGTGGAACGTTGGAGCGTGTGGGTGCGCCAGAGGGCAAGAGCGGGTGCGCGCGCACCTTTCCCCGAGCAGCGCGCACCCCCGAGCGCAGCTCAGTGATAATTGGCCAAGGGTGTGCGACGCTACTCGGTGGCGGCGGCGGCGTCGCGAAGGACGTTCCGAGTGTTTTCGAGGTTCGCGGTCGTGGGCCGAGAAATAAAGGCCGCTCGCGGCGAGAGAACCGAGGTTAGTCCTATCGTTTACGCGGCGCGCGCGTGCGGGAGGGGTAGGTGTTTCCCCCGTGCGACCGTCGGCTAGCGGCAGAAGGGGTGAGCAGAGAGTCGGGCCGGGAGAGGGGGAAGCGGCGCCGGGCGGTTTTCCCGCGCGACGCACACGTGAGTGCGGTGTGAAGCGACGCGAGTGTCGGGGAAACGTGTAGGCGCGCGCCCGTCCGGCGGGACGAACTTCGCGGCGTAGATCGACGGCGCGGCGTGACGGGAAAGCGCGAGATTTCCGGGAGGAAGGCGATCCAGCGCGGCGACGAGGCCTCGCGGAGGCCTCGCTGGAGCAGCGGGAGGCGATGCGTGTCAATATCGAAGCGGCTCGTCGTTGCGTTTCGTGCGTCGCGGGGCACGCGCCGCCCGTCGGTCTCTCCCGGTGATTCGTCGTTTCAAGACGTCAGACGCCCGGTGCCCAAGACAAGAGATACGTAAACACGCGTTTACGCACCTGTCTCTCACCTCGGAGCGGCCAAGTGATTTTACGTATCTTATCTGCGCGATAAAGAGGACAATAGTGAAGTGAACCGTTTTCGAGAGGTCGTTCGAGTTAATAAACAAGCGTCGGAGTCGTCGCCCTGGCGCAGATAGGAAGGTGACACTTGAGACGCGACGTTCGACCGGCGACGGAAGCGGCCCGCGGTTTCGCTGCTCGATGGCGACGCGAGTGCCGCTCGACGTGCCGCTTCCGGTGCGCCGTTCGCGTGGCGTCCAGCGGAAGGCGGCGAGGTAGTCGGCGCCGAAAGTGTCGCTCGCCCCCGAATCGTTTCGCCGTCCCGAGAGCGCGATGGAGGACGTGGACGGCGCGCACGCCGTCCGGACGCCGTGCGGCGTCTCCGGCGACAGCGGCATCTACGACAGCGTCGACAGCGGCTACCTGTCCATCGTGACGCCGCAGGCCAGCGGCTGCACCCCGGCCGCGAGGGTGCCCGGCTACCGGACGCGCTCGTCCACCGGCGCGCTGTTCTCCGCCAGGAAGCAGTGGTACCGCGCGGAGCCGTTCCCGTGCGAGAAGATGCAGCGGCGTCGCTCCAAGCTCCAGCATCGGCTCAACGCCTTGGAATTCGACTTTCCCGCGTCCGAGAAGCAGCAGCAGCACTATGGCGAGCAGGACTCGGGGCTGGAAGTGTCGCGCATCAGCCTCGGCCTGGCGCACTCCACCCCGAGCTGCACCTACGACGAGCCCCCGGGCAAGACCCTCGCCAGCCGGGACAACTGGAGGGTCGCGGTGCCCGTCACCCCCGCGTCCGCGGACCTCGAGATTCTCTCGCCGCCCCCGTCGCCGGTGGCCTCGCAGCCCGTCCGGGAGGAGGTGAAGCTAGTCTACACGCCGCGGGGTAAATCGCGGCGGGTCACGACGCCGCCGAAGATCCGGGTCTCGATACCGGCGGACGCGGACAACAGCCCGACGGCCTTCACGTCGGTGGAGCGCCACAGGTTGCGCGAGCTCCGCATCACCGAGCTCGCCACGTCCGAGATCAAGCCGAAGAAGCTGGACTTCAGCCACCGCGGCCTGTGCGCGTCGCTGCGGAAAAACCGACGGCCCAGTCTGGACTACACCGGCAGGGGCAAGGTGGACTTCCTGTCTCTCCTCGGGGAGGAGAGCAACCACCTGAATCTGGTGTCGAAAATCCTGTCCCTCCTCTCGTCCCAGGACCTGTGCTCGGCCAGCATGGTGTCGCGGGTGTGGCGGAGGATCTGCAAGGCCGACCCGGCCGCCAACAGCCGCAGGATGAGCTTCATCATGCGCAAGCACACCGTCAAGGAGAACCTGTGGCTGCTGACGACGATAGCGAAGAAGGCGAAGCGCGAGGACGACATACAGACGAGCCCGAAGAGCAGACGTTACGTGCGGAAGGGCCACCTTCTCGACGTGCAGAACCTGCTGCAAGTTCCGGCGCAGCCCAACAGCCCGCCTGTGTCGCCGAGCAAGATCAAGTTTCACTCCTTCGTCAAGGTAAGTCGATTAACTTCTCGCCACGTACGTTTCATGTCGTTACGAATTGCAGGGGGCAAATAGGGATTTGCCCTTCCACTTCCGTGTCTCGAGATTTTCTTGTCATTTCGAAGTTTATTTAAACATCTGCGTTATAGAAACCTGGCACGGTCAACACATTAATATTGAGTCAGTAATACGTCAGTTTGTCCGGCTTTTTTATCTCTGTTTATTTTGGGGGGCAATTTGGAGACAGCAAGGAAAAACAATTGGAAGGGATATTATCAAGGTTGGGTCCAGTTAGAAAGATAAAAGTTGAGTTAAAAAGTTAAATACTTTTAACTTAACTTGGTTGCATTATAAACTGTTAGCTTTTGACTTAATTTAGTTATATTTTATCGGCAACTAACGTTCTACACTGATCGTATTGTAGCGTCGCAAGCGTCGCAAATCATAGATTCGACCGATCGGCATTGGATTAGAACCAGTCTACGACCCTTGCGACGCTGCGACCAATGTAGAACCGGCCTTAGGAATTGCGATGCGACTTGGAAGGAAAACCGTCGGATCTCGGCGGCGAAAAGGCGCTCGTGAGAAAAACTCAGCGGCGGAGTCAACGGACTGACTCTGCGAGGTGTCGCGGCTTTAAAGAGAACGCCAACATTTCTCAGGGTTCTCGTGTTCGGGAGCCGGTAATGCACGTGTCGCCGGTAACGCATTCCGTTGAGAGTCGCGGTTTATCTCGCGAGATAATTGGGCGTCGGTGTCCGAGAGATGAGACGCGCCCTCGTTTCTCTTCTCGACGTTTATCTCCCGACCTAATTGAATAACGATGATCCGCAATGGCCCGGGAGACGCGCGAGCAGTCTCAGAAAAACGACCGTGCCTCGTCGAGGATCGCCAATTCGGCCGATTCTCGACAGCATTACGTTAGCAGTTTTCGTTGTATAATATACTTGTCGTGCTCGCCAATTTGAATGCGATTAGGTTGATTTATGAAGAGCGGATGCGGTATTTTTGACGTTTATATTTTGAGAGCGGCATGTTTGCTTCCTTTTCGCACAGCTGAAACATAGAAAATGCGAAGAGAAACGTTGGGAGTGTTTGCCAATATTTTCTTATCGCTTTTATACTTTCAGTATAGTTTGCGTGCACCAATCGCTAAGTAAAGTCAACGGCACACGATCCTATTTTGCCTACTGGATTTCTTGCGAGAGCCAATAGGGATGCAGAGTTTTGGACAAGGTGATCTAAAGGCCTGTGTCCACGATGCTAGAACCTGGTCCAAGTTCTAGTTTCGAGAAATGTGTAGCCAATCAACTTGCAGCTATTCCATAAAAGCTGCAAGTTCATTAGCCTTGAGGCTAAATCCTGATTGGCTCTCGCAGGCGATCCGGTAGGAAAAAGAGTATCGTGTGCCGTTGGTCTAATATTATTAAAACTAACGAGTTACATGCGACATTCAGAAAAAATAATTTGATGCAATTCAACGTGACAATTACGGTGCATCGAACTGTAATATCTAATTAGTTCAGCGCAATCGAATAATCGCTCGCCACTAATAATCTGCATTCCGTATCTACTGTAAAAATTTAATCCTTTGTCGCCATACGCAATGCAATCAAAGTCAGGCAGCTTCACTCGCGGCATTTTAGTGGCGGCGGCGAGTGTACTTCTCCACCGCACGTTACTTTCGCCGCGACGGACTTAATTAGTTAATAATCGATCTCCTCACACAGCCGATCGGTCTGTTCAGATCGCGTAGAGCACACGGCGTGTCGTGCGATCTAAAATGCGTTAAGCGTCGTCTACAATAACCGGCGTAAGCGTGGAGTAAGAGTAGGAGTAACGTTTTTAGCGTAAGCTGTTTACGCCGACTCAATCTACAATACGGTGAAGTAGGTGTTGTAGGCATGCGTGAAAAGGCGTAAGAGTAAGAGTAGGCGTAAGAAATAAAAATAATTCATTTCGCTTACGCCCTTACTCCAGCTCTATTAAACCGGAAGTAGCTCTCTTACACCTACTCTTACTTCTTACTCCACGCTTACGCCGGTTATTGTAGACGACGCTTTACACGTCGGGGACCCGTAATTAGGGACGCCCGCTCGTTCCTCTTCGTAGACCGTTGCTCGTCGTTTCGGCGCTCGTAACTCTCGCGAGAGCAGAAACACGACGGCTAATTATCAGCCGGGCGATAATCGATAGCTCGCCGCTCCCAGGATTTCCTCGGCCAAATTTGCATCCGCATAGCTGGCGCGAAATCGAATCGCGGCCGGATAATTGTTTCGATCGCGGGATCATTACTTTGACGTTGATTTATCGTCATTTTGGCTTTGTGCCGCCGCGAAGGATAATTGCTTGGTGGGTCGTTAAGGCACGAGATAAGCGAGGGCCCGTCGGCGTTGTGCAGAATTTGACGGATGTTCCTCAATGATGAGACTCCGCCGTGTTTTGCATAACTTCATCTCCCACGCGGCAATTGAAATCGCGTCAAGCCGCGCAATTACACCTCGTCGCAGTCGAAAACGTCGCGTCCGGTACAGCCACGTGCTATCTGTAATCTTATCGCGCAAAACTGATTGAAAAATCCAACGCGACAAATTCCTAGATTTAATACTCGAATTGCACTCTTAACATATAACGGGCGATGAATTTAAATAAATTTACTAATCAGAATATACTTCAATGTCGCCAGCGGTAATTAACAACGCCGGTGTTTTCTTAACCATACCTGGCCTGGTTTTAATAATACAGAAAATTTATTGCGAAAGGTCATATTTTTCGTTTGTTCCATAAATTTCTTCTCCAATTAAAGTCCTTTTCCAAATAAACTATAAAAATACGTGTGTCACTATATCTTTTACGATACGCATAAAATATTGATATTAAAGTAGTGCCTCAAGTTGTCGCGACGATGATAAACGTCCCCCTTCGTCCAAGAGATGTAAAACGCGAATGGCTCTCGCAATTTCGCGCGGAGTTACGACGCGGCGCGCCGACTTTACGTAACATTTGCGAATATTCCGCGGTGCATTGTGTCATTTCCGCACAAACGCCCTCATTACGCTGCGATTCCGCTGGACGTTCTCCGTCGAGCGCGAACTCGCCGCGAACCTCGAGCCAAAGCGGCGAGGCGAGCGCGATGATTTACTCGCGGAAATCAGTCAGACGACGGCGTGAAGAATCGGTGACAGTGATGTACGTGCTTTCTCGTCGTCGACGGGGCTACCTGCCGTCTCTAGACGGTCTCTCCTTCTTTCTCTCGTCGAACGAGCGGCGCATTCCTCCTCGCCGTTAGATTGTAATAGCGGATGCAAGTGGCATACCCCGAGATCCTTTGTTGCGCGCGCGAAACGATAGCGAGGGCCAGTGTTCGCGCTCGTGTCAAAGCCAGCGCCGACCGCACACGTCCCGTATTGCAATTCTTTATCGCCGCGGAGCGGACGAAACGCGCGCATTGTCGACCCTGCACGCGTATTGCATCCCGCTTACGGGATGATAGATTGCGAGAGAGCTGTTCGTTGCCGAGCGAACGCATTAGGGCGAGTCCTCGAAATGACCGTCCTGGAACATCGTGAGATTTCGTCGTAAAAGTAAGGTGTTCCGAGATCCGGCATCATCAATCTCCCCGCCGTTTAACAGCGATATAAATGTACATTGTCGAATGTGAGGTCTCTCTCGAGTTTAACGTCGGATTAACGAAATCATAAATAATCTCCCACCTTGTGTTTCCTCGGCACAGTGTTCTCGCGCGTGAGAGGGGGAAGTGTCGATGATTGAGCGAGATCGCGCGGGAAGATGGTGAGAAGCTGCGACGTGAAAGGCGGTCGGTTCGTAAATAAATTCCTGATCGCGACGCGTTGCAAAGGGAAGTCAACGTTACCGTTCGCGAAAGAACGTATGCAACGTTGTATTTTAGTGCTCTCCACTAAAATCGAGTCGGGCGGACGATATATCAGAGGTCCCCGTCTCTCCTCGTGCACATCCAGCTCGTTTCGTCTCTGGATCGCGAATCGGCTTGCGGCAAAAAACCGACCACAGAGAGAACAATGCGAATATATTATGGTATCTGGACATTAAAACAAAGGGCTGGCGGAGCCCTTTGGTCTTTTAGGATAGCCCTGCGAGAATGCCAAACCACGAGCAAAATAGAAAAGAGACGGGGGGCATTTTAACCGCGAAACTTAAATGATTATCGTGCTATGCAGAAAGACAAAGAAAATTAACACTTGAGCAGCGCATTAAACTTGACATGTTAAACAGAATATTAAGAAAATTAAATACAAGCTCGTCTTTATTAAATATCAAGAGAATATCAAGAATATAAGGCTAATAATATTACGTAATATTATTGGCCTTATATCCTTGATATTAAACAGAATAGACTTTACAGTTTAATTGTCAAATCTTTCGTTTTATTTGAATGCATCTTTAAATTAAAAGGGTTTAAGAGGTGCAAAGTTATAGACTTTTTTAAGGGAAACTGTATTGTCACTGCTGTTGGATTTCCACAGATTTGCGTGCAAGGAAATCCGAGCTCGGTCTTGTCTTCCACCGTTCCCTCGCGTTTCTCTGATTACTTCGGCACTCTTGGCTGCTCGGACAGCCTTGCGGGATGCCGTAGAAAGTTCGCGATGAGATACGGTGCGATCGCTCATGAGAACGAATGCGCTTCCTTGACCGTTTCCGTCAACGATTACTCATGCATAACGCATGACTCAAACCATGGAAAAATTGGCGATTACTCATTGAATCTCGCTAGAACGAAAACATCGATCTTCGGTATATAATGTCGACTAAAAAGCTGGATGATTGTTAGATATTTCCTTTTGATATTTATTAAATACCGCTGATTGTAAACGTCAAGTCCACTTCCTATTTTTAATAAGGAATATTCTGCATATAAAAAACAATACCTTGAATCGAGTTATTGGAATTTGAACGCTCTTAGACGGAGAGACGAAGCTTCCGACTTTATAATAACGTCCGCCTTTTTATTACAATTCGGGGGATTAATTTCG